GAGAGGCCCAGGGGCCTCCAATTGACTGCCCACCTGCCCACCTCCCTCTCAGGGCCTGCCCCACTGTGGCTGCAGGGCCCGGCCATCGTCCTGCCGAGGCTCCCTGGAGGGCTGAGAGCAGCACAGCACCGGATGATCTGCTATTGATGGGACGGGCTACGGCAGGCTGGCCTGGGTCAGCAGATCCATCCCCCGCTCAGGATGTCAGATTGTGCCTGGCCATTGATCAGACAGATGCTGGCCTGGCTGGGCCCTGGGGGAGGTGGGGGGCTGCCCATGCAGCGTGGTCAGGGGGTGGGCATAGAGGTGTAGACACACTCCCTTCCTCGTGCCCACCAGCCTCTGCTTGGTTGACCCTCAGGCCGGGGCATCTTTTCTTTTTTTAGATGTTGGGAGTAGGAGTTTATTAATTAATTTATTTTTATTTTTGCTGTGTTGGGTCTTCGTTTCTGTGCGAGGGCTTTTCTCCAGTTGCGGCGAGCGGGGGCCGCTCTTCATCGCGGTGCGCGGGCCTCTCACTATCGCAGCCTCTCTTGTTGCGGAGCACAGGCTCCAGACGCGCAGGCTCAGTACTTGTGGCTCACGGGCCCAGTCGCTCCGCGGCATGTGGGATCCTCCCAGACCAGGGCTCAAACCTGCGTTCCCTGCATTAGCAGGCAGACTCTCAACCACTGCGCCACCAGGGAAGCCCACGCCGGGGTGTCTTGATGCTGCCCTGGCATCGTCCCAGTGGGCAGAGCTGAGACCTGGCCGGCAGTGGGGAGCTAGAGTTCCTGTGGCCTCAGCGGGCCAGCCCCTGGCCCTGTGTAGGCTCAAGACACCCCTGACACACTGTGCTTGCCTGGCAGGGAGACCCTCGCCCCAGGCAAAGTGGGAACTTGGCTGTGACCTCTGAACCCTAGCGGGCACACTGCCAGCCTGTACTGAGGGGCCCTCTGACCTGGAGGGCCTGGCTCCCTCCTGCATTGGCTGGTCCTGGGCACCCCAGACCTGCCCAGGTATGAGAGGGTGCAGGCAGAGAAGTGACAGGTGTCCGGACGGAGAGGGAGGGCATGCGTGCATGAGAACCAGAAAGAGAGGGGCACCTGGGAGACAGGCCAGGAATGGAAGGAGCAGAAGGGAGCCGAGACCCCGAGGAGAGACCGATACAAGGCGGGCAACGGTCACGCCAGGACAGAGAGAGGGCTGGGCTGGGACCTGGGCCCCCACCGCTCACTCCTCGGTGCCCCTCAGAGGCGGGACCAGGCTTAGGTCACCTTGGGCCGCCCGCCGCACTGTCTGAGTGGTTCACGGTTGGCACGTGCCATCCCCGACCGATTATTGGAAGCGGGTTCCCTCGGTGGGGTCTGGGAGCCTCTGGAGCCAGGCGGCCAGGCCACCCGGAAAACTGCAGACAGGGTCTCGGCCCCTGCCCACAATTACCCTCCCGCCCCGGCCAGCACCGCTAATGAATTGGGATTTGATCCGCAACATCACAGCTGGCCACAGCGCGACTGTCTGGCTCCAGCCGGGCGGGTGAGGGGCTGGCGGGCAGCGGAGTCAGGCCCGGAGCCCACTGAGCCCACCGCCCCACCTGCTCAGGGCCTGGGGCAGCCACCCCTCTGGGCCAGGGATCCCCACAGCCAGGCAGTGGGGAGGCCCCCTGAGTGTGCCGCTCCCCGTGGGCCATTTCCTGCAGCAAGCCCCGGGGCGGTGAGGTGGGCTCGCAGGCTCTGAGGGGTTCCTCCAGCGGCCTCAGCCCCCTGGGGCTGTACCCTGCCCCAGGCCGGCCCCTGGCACCACCCTCCGCTGCGCCCATCACCCACCCTTAGGGTCAACTCTGGGCCAGCACCGCATCTGCCCCAAACCCACCCCGCGGCCGGCCTGCTCTGTCTCTCCCCAGCCTGGCCTCCTGCCCCACTCCCGTGGGCCCTCCTCTTACCTGCCTGGCCTCCCGTAACCCACCCTGAGGAGGGCTCAGGGGCAGGGACCGGGACTGAGCCCCGTCTGGGCAGCGGGGACCGGCCGGGCAGCACCGCAGGACAGGCTCCGGAGGCGTGCGAATGGATGAATGAATGGTGAGCAAGTGAGGGGAGCAGAGGCCTGGGAGGACTCAGGGGGGCGGCAGCTCGGAATGGCTAGACACCAGGGTCTGGGTGGGGTGCGGGCACTCGGTGGGCGAGGCCACGTGGCCGTCACTAGAGCAGGTCAGGCAGGGGTCCCAGGGAGAAGCGCCAGGTGAGGGGGCAGCCCTCTAGGCCCTGGGCTTTCCCCGGGGTGCTGCCCGCCTGAGGCCGGGCCTGAGGGAGCCCCTCCAGGGGGGCGGGTTACAAGGTGACAGGAGGGGTGATGACTGCACCTTCTTAGAGGGATCAGAGGGAGACGGGCCGCTGACGGATGCAGCTGGCAGAGCAGGAGAGTTTTAAGGCAGCGTTCCAGGAGAGAGGGGAGAAAAGGAGAAAGATTTGCCGATTTAATGGAAAATCAAGCGGTCCAGCCTCCTGGCCCGGTGCAGGCCCCCTGTTGGGCATGGAGGACCTGGGACAGCACGGTCCCCTCCTCTCAGTTGGGAAGGAGTCCCCTTGGCAGTACCCGGATCTGGGGTCAGCCAGAACCCTTCTGTTGTCCCGACCCCTGGCCCCTGCGGCCTCCGCGGAGTGACAGAGCGCCGGGCCTCCTGCCCCTCCCACAGCTCCCCACTCCCCCTCACGGGCCTGGGACCTCCCACCACCCAGCTCAGCAGGGTCACCACGGCAGCACCAGCCTGTATCCACAGCCAGCAGTACCATCGCCAGCCACACTGACCCTCACGGCCACAGACCGCTGAGCAGCCCGGCCAAGACCACAGCCAGCCTTCTGCCCATGCAGCCAGCTGCGTGGACACCGACATCACCAGCACACCCTCGGGCAGCATCCCCTTTCCTGTCTACCCCACCTTCACGGTACTGCTCCCTCGCTCAGTGTGCGGGGACCCCTGGGTCTGCCGGTGGAGCCCCTGGCTGACTCAGCTGGACACTGGGGTCCAGGGCTGGGGCCTCTGAGGGGCCCTGAGGTAGGAGCCCTGGACCAGGTGAGTCTGGACGCCTGGGGGGCGGGGAGGCAGGTGTCTTCTCAGCAGTAAGCACCGTGTGGTAACGAATGGGGGTGGCGGCCGCAGTATTTAACAGCCGCGTTGGATTGTGCGGCTCGGCCTGTAACCGGCGCATTATGAAGGCTAATGGATTTTTGAGGCCAGATTGATTTTTCATTAATTTGGTAAAAATCTTTTTCCTCTCCCCTATAATTCTGTCTTAAAACGTTCCCCCTGACAGCTCGATAAGTCACTCCTGTCTTAATGCACGTCTGGCTCACCCGTACAGGGGCCGAGGGGGAGGGGAGCGTGGAGCCTGGGGGGCTGCCAATCATCCCCAGGTAAATACTGCATTATGAATGGGCCTGGGGAGGCCGCCCTGCGGGGGCCCTCTCCCAGGGTGGGCCTCGGCCCTCAGGACCCCCTGCAGGCCACAGGCTGCTGAGGAGAGGGCACAGCCCGCATCGGGACAGAGATAGTATGTGAGAGACAAGGGGGGAAACTGAGGCAGGAGCCCCCACTCCCAGAAGGGGTGGCCTGCCGACGCCTTCCTCCTGGTCAAGGTAAGGTGAGACCTCTGACTCCAGAGGGGCTGACCTTGACGGGGGCCTGCCCAGGCCTCTGTCCATCCTCCTCCCACCAGCTCAGGGCCCCCTCCCACCCGGATACCGGGGGGCCTACCCCAGCCTGGTCTGGGCTGCCTGACCAGCAGGGGCCCCTGCCCCTCCTGGACTCCATGCCCACCTACATCCTCCAGAGAGGCCTCAGGGCCCCCAGGGCCTGTTGCTGCAGCCACCATCCCTCAGCGGGGCTGGCCTGGCGGGGCGGGGCGGGGCGGGGTGGGGCTGACTGCTTCCTTTCCTCCCCTCAGCCGCTCCGCCTCTGCTCTCCGGGGCACTGCTCCCCCCTGACCTCCCCCTCGAGATTCTCCCGCCAGCCTTCTCTTATGGGGTCTCCAGGCTGTCCCCCACTCCTCCAGCCCCACCACGCTCTCCCAGGGCTTCAGGTAACCCTCCAGGGCCCCCCAGACCCACCCACCCTCTCCGTCCAGCCCCAGACCATGCCCAGCGGCTCCCTGGACACGCTCCTCGTGCCCACTGGCAGCCCAGGTCCAGTGGGTCTACCTTGAGCTGACCCACCCAAACCTGCTCGTCCTCCTGGAATCACAGTCGCACCACACCCGGCCCAGCGCCGCCACATGGCCTCACCGATGTGCTCCTGGACCTGTGAGCCCTGGTCCTCCGCGTCCAGGCCGCCGGGGGCCCTCCGGGAGTGGGGTGCAGCCCTGTAGTTACGCCCTCCCCCAGGCAGGGGCCCACCTCGTGGAGTGAGTCCCTGCCCCCAGCCCCACCCCAGGCACCTCGGCCCTGCCTCTCTTTGCCAAGCTGCCTCCTGCCCGCTCTAGGCTCTCCTCATCCCCCCTGTCCCCAGGGGCCAACCTGAAACTGGGCAGGGGGGTGAAGGCCCCTTGGGCTCCCAAAGCTCCCTGCGCTTGTCGCTGCCACCGCCCTGAGATGCCTGTCTCAGCCCCATCAGTGGTCAGCCCCCCAGGGCCGGGGCCTGGCTTCACCTCTTAGAGCCTAGAGCGCAGCTCAGTGATGCAAGCTGAGCGGGGTTCTGGTGGCCCTCCTGAGCTGATCCTAGGCGAGCTCTGGACCTTGTCGTCATCACCCCAGCACTGACTGGCCCCAACCTGAGGTCCTCTGTCCAGAAGAAGGGACGATGGTGAAGGAGAGCCTGGCCAGGGACTTGTAAAGCTGGCGTGTCATGGCCGTTGAGGGAATTAAGAGCGAGTTAGTGGTGACTCTGATGTGGCTCTTGGCCATGGCAGTGATGGTGTTGCTGGTCAAGTGACAGAGATGCAGTACGGGGGACATGATGTGGATGCCAGGGACAGTGTGGAGGTGATGGTGCTGATGGCCGTGGGGACGGGGTGGGGGTCGACGTGCTGCTATTGGCCGGCAGCGGCCATGGTGCTGGTGAAGACAGAGGTGGAGCTGTTACTGGTCCGAACGTTGGCTGGAGCAATGGGGCAAGTGGAGCAGGTGATGGTGGCAAAGGGGAGTCTTGGCAGGGGAGGGAGGGGAGG